CCGGGGGGGGGCCCGCCAGGCTGCCTGCTTAGCCTGGACCCACCCCCTTTCCTCACTCACCCCTGAGCTGCCGTGGGAACGCACGGGGAGGGGAAGAGGCAAAAGCAGCCAGAGAGGTGTGGGAGCGGCCACGCGGGCTGCCAGCTCCGGGGCGCCTTCCAACTTACACAGGAAGTCTGCGGACGCCCTGGTTAAATTTAACGTCCTTGTCTGTGTCACTATGACATCGGACACGAACATGCACTTTGCGGAGGGAGAGGACTCTAAGCGGTACTGCATCAGGACGAAGCATGTGGTTGTCATCTGCGTGGTGGTGGTGGCCGTGGGGCTGATCGTGGGCCTCTCGGTGGGCTTGACCCGATCGTGCGACTCCGCCGGGGGTACGGGGCAGGGCACAGCTGCGCCATCTCAGGCGCCTTCCTCGCCGGGCCCTTCGGATCTCCCTCCGCAGACCCAGGATGTGTGCCCGGCCAGCGAAGATGCGAGTGGCCCGTGGACCAACTTCAGGCTGCCGGACTTCCTCAGCCCAGTGCACTACGACCTGGAGGTGAGGCCGCTGATGGAGGAGGACACGTACTCCGGCCGCGTGGCCATCTCTGTCAACGTGAGTGTGCCCACCCGGTACCTGTGGCTGCACCTGCGCGAGACGAGGATCACGCGACTCCCGGAGCTGCGGGCGCCCTCTGGCGAGCAGGTGCGCGTCCGGCGGTGCTTCCAGTACAGACCGCAGGAGTACCTGGTGGTGGAGGCCGAGGACCTGCTCCCAGCCAGCGGTGCCGCGGGGCTCTACCTGCTGACCTTGGAGTTCGCCGGCTGGCTCAATGGCTCGCTTGTGGGCTTCTACAGGACCACCTACACCGAGGGCGGCCAGCTCAGGTGCGTGCCTTCTCCCGGCTTCCCTGCGCTCGCGCATCTGCTGTCTTCCCCTCTCCCTTCCCTGGCCACTTCGGAATTAGGTGGTCGATGTGATCTCCACCTGCTGGAGTTTCGGTTCCGCCGGATCCCCTGGGGGGCCATGTCCTTGCCCTGGTCTGTGTTCAAAGCTGGCCATGAGCCTGGACACAGCGAGCGCTCCGTGGAGTCCGCGACTGGCGTGTTTCATTCTGATGCCATCGGAGGAGTGATGGCGCAGGCCCCGTGGGTTAAGGTTTCCGTGGGCGTCTCAGATTTATGGGGTGCCTGTCTTGTGGGTTCCACAAGGGGTTCTTGGACTAGATGGCCATGATTCTAAACTGGACGTTTCAAGTGACACTGCACGAACATTAAGTGAGCGGACCGTGAGCGCAACAATCATGCCCATTTCTGCGAGAAGGGGCGGGAAGGGAGCGGGGCCGTGTGCTTGCTGTCTCGCCTCTGCGGCCAGACCATGTCGTAGACGCAGGCTTTCCGGAAAACTCATAGATCCCGCACGTGGCTGGCAGGACCTGGATGTCTGGGGGACTTCTGCCCTCCCGCAGCATGCGCAGGTAGTACTCAGCCTTCGGCAGTGCAGGAGCCACGGGAGGGAGAGGGCACGCGTGTTTTTCTCTCGGTTCTCCCAGCAGATACTGTGTGTGTGTGCACGCACATATGTGTGTGTTTGTGTGTGCGCGTGTGTGGGCACACATGTGTGTGTGCGCGCGTGTATGTGGTGTGTGCACACACGCCAGTCGGGGCTATTACTAGAGCTAAGTGAAAACGTCGACGCTCTTGCTGAACCTAGAGAGAAATCTTCACACTGAGGATGTGGCCCTGGACTCCGGGAGGAGTTCATCACTATCTCTGAGGCGTCCGTGAACTTGAGACTGCTCCGACCTTTGCCTGTCTGAGTCTGAGGAGGTAAACGAGTTAGAAAGCACAGTGTCACCGTCAGGAGACAGGTCCCGGCAGCCTCCGAGCGCCTCTCTGCTGCCTCACGAGCCTTATACAGCAAGGCTCAGCTCTGGCCCAAATTCTTGCTACTGTCAGAGAGACCCAGGGACCAAAAGCAGATGTTTAAATGCCCGTGTCGTAGGTGGACACATCGAGCAGAAGAGATGCTCTGGAGACCACGTGGCGGTCTCGGGTTCATACAGATCCTACATGGTAACGCTCGTGGCGAGCAAACAGGCTTTACTGTCTACACGTCTTCCCCGCCTGTGGAAGCCACACTGCCAAAGGTGTAGAACATTATAAAAGGGAAGCTCAGAAGAGTCTATAAATGACCCCACCACCCAGCAGTTATTCCTGTTAGCACGTTTGCGTGTGTCCTGGTATTTTCTAGGCAATCAAAACTGAACTTGCATTATGTCTGTCTGTCTATCTATCTATTATCTATCTGCCTTTTTTACTTAATATGAGGGTACATCAAGACATTTGTGGGAAAATGGAATCTAAGTTTATTTTTATGCAAATTTTTTATCTATGCATAGTTTTTTCATCCTACACATTTTTGGAGAGATTTTTGCCACAGGGTGCACACGCTTGCCAGAGAGATAGAAAGAAAGTGAGAACTCTCCCCCCAGGGAGGATGGCCATGCCTCAATCCCTTCTCCTCTGTTCTCCTTTTGGCATCTTGGGAATGCACATACATGCACCTGGCATGATTCAAGCTGCCAGGTCTGGGACTCAAACCGTGGTCAGCAGTGGGAGTCCAGCAACATAACCACTACACCATCTGCTGGCTCCCATCGTGCGTATTTGCACGAGCTTTTTGGTGTTTCCTCATAAACCGTAAGCAGTTCCCATCACTCATAAATATCTTTTAAAATCTGATTTGAAAGATCGAGCAGTATTCCATTACATGAATGTAGTGGAATATTTAAAAAATCACTATCATTGGGCATTTGAGCTGCTTCTAGTGTTTTACTATAAACAAATCCGATAAGAACACAGTTGAAAATCCATCTCTACGTGTATGTATTTCCTGAGGTTAGGATTTTCAACCTGCAAAGACATTGTTGCATCAAAGAACACAAACATACCAAGAAACTTGTGTAACATCTTTTGTTTATTTACTTATTTACTTTTAAATCTTGCTATAGGGCATGTACACTCGCTAGAGAGAGGAGAGAGACAGAAATCACTCCCCCAGAGGGCCGCGATCCCTTCTCCTCCATTCTTCTCTCAGGATCATGGGTATGCACGCACACCCAGTGTGTTCTGCAAGCCACCGGGTCCAGGACTTGAACTTCACAGCTGGGCATGTGGGATTCAGTGCCTAACCACCATGCCACCAGCTGGCCCTATTTCGCTATTTATTAAATACACAATATATATATATTCATTGTGGAACCTTTGGAAAACAGAAAATCGTAAGGGAAAAACCTATCTGGAACTGTAGGGCCCGGGTGTAGCCCTTGTCCACACGGGGCAAACACCTGTGCAGCATTTTTCTGGACAGCTGACCATGGTGTTACCGCATGTGGCGTCACATGCATTCCACTGTGACCTCCGTGCTCTAGCCTCACCTGGTATTCTGCAAACGATCCGATAGAAGCTTGGGAGAGCATTGCATGATACAGTGTAACCGAGCTGACCTTCCCGCTAACGGTGGCGTTGAAGTTGCACCTACCCTCACCTGTAACCTCGGAGACTCCAACAACGCCTCCACGTCGCAGCGTGGAAGAGTGGTGATGCATTTTTGCATAGATAAACACAGAAAAATATGCATGACGTTTCTGATGACCCAATAAATAACTATTTCTGAACATCTTCTAATATTTGCAGTAGAATTTCTAGGAGATGGGTCAACGTCACACACGTATGAATACACGCATGTATGTCGTGTTTCTGTGTGCATGCACAGATATAACAGACATGTGCACGAACATGAGAAGTGCCATGACTTTCAAAGCACATGTGCTGAATCCATCCCCACCTCCGATTATGAACCTGCGTCTCTGAGCCTTAGCAATGACACAATGATTTTTAAAGTGCCAGAGAAAAAGGCTTCATATTCTGCAGACTATCCACCTGAAAGAGGCCATAAAAACGTGCGGGGTTAGGGCGCCGGGCTCCCACCTGTTCAACTACGCCTCAAGTCCCAGACCTGGAAACTTGAAAATGACACCAGGTGTGTGTGTGTGTGTGTGTGAACAAAATCCCAAGAGGAGAATGGGGGAGAAGGGATTGTGGTGTGGCCATCCCCTGCGGAGTGATTGTTCACTTCCCCTCTCTCTGTCTCTCTGGTCAGGGCAAAACCTAAAACAAAGAAAACGGCGTAGAGCTCCGAGTTGCGTCTCGCTCACTGGCTCACGCTCACCGGCCACGGGGGCTGCCCGCTTCCCTGCTGCACACGTGGTTTGGGATGAATGGGACGTTTTCTGTTGTTCTTGTGAAATATTTCAGGCATATGAGAAAAGTGCATTGTATTTTTAATTTTTCCCATGGGTGTGAGTAACATTTGGCTACACGGCCTCTTGAATTCCCAGCCCACAGCCCCATGTCAGGCTGCAGGGCCGGAGCCTGGGCAGCACCATCCCTCCCTCTCGCCGTGCGCGTCCTCGGCTAGGGCGCTCAGGCCCTCACACGCCCTCTCCACCATGGGGTCAGGATGCAGCCAGACCCACATTCCTGGCCTCCCTTCCATCCCCACCTCCGATTATGAACCTGCGTCTCTGAGCCTTAGCAATGACACAATGATTTTTAAAGTGCCAGAGAAAAAGGCTTCATATTCTGCAGACTATCCACCTGAAAGAGGCCATAAAAACGTGCGGGGTTAGGGCGCCGGGCTCCCACCTGTTCAACTACGCCTCAAGTCCCAGACCTGGAAACTTGAAAATGACACCAGGTGTGTGTGTGTGTGTGTGTGAACAAAATCCCAAGAGGAGAATGGGGGAGAAGGGATTGTGGTGTGGCCATCCCCTGCGGAGTGATTGTTCACTTCCCCTCTCTCTGTCTCTCTGGTCAGGGCAAAACCTAAAACAAAGAAAACGGCGTAGAGCTCCGAGTTGCGTCTCGCTCACTGGCTCACGCTCACCGGCCACGGGGGCTGCCCGCTTCCCTGCTGCACACGTGGTTTGGGATGAATGGGACGTTTTCTGTTGTTCTTGTGAAATATTTCAGGCATATGAGAAAAGTGCATTGTATTTTTAATTTTTCCCATGGGTGTGAGTAACATTTGGCTACACGGCCTCTTGAATTCCCAGCCCACAGCCCCATGTCAGGCTGCAGGGCCGGAGCCTGGGCAGCACCATCCCTCCCTCTCGCCGTGCGCGTCCTCGGCTAGGGCGCTCAGGCCCTCACACGCCCTCTCCACCATGGGGTCAGGATGCAGCCAGACCCACATTCCTGGCCTCCTGCCATAACGTGACACCCAGCCCAGAGCTGGGAACCAGGAGCGGAATGGGCGCCTTCACCACCGCAGTGCACACAGCCTGCTGGGCTCCGGAGAACTCAAGGACGGATTTCTGCGAACGTGTCAGGGCTTGACGTTGGGAAGAGCCGTCAACCCCGGGGGTCTGCCCTGGAGATGGAGAGGCAGCGCTGGCAGGGGAAGGGGCCCGCTGAGTGGAGTTCCTATGCAGGGGAGGTCTGGGACGGACTGGCCCCTCCTCTGGCCGCCTCTCCCTCCTGGCCCAGTCTGCTGCTGCAGTCTGAGGAAACCCACTTCCTAGAGACGCCTCAACCTCCCTGACTGCACCCCCGCCGCCTCCCCTGCTGTGGCCCAGGGAGAGCCCTCACTCAGAGCTCTGAGCGTGCACCCCCTTCCCTCCGGGGGTCGCGCAGTTCGTCCCAGTCTGCTGCGACAGGTTCACGGTGCATGGTCTGGGAGCCACCACCGGGGACAACGGGAGGGAGCCTGGTCAAGCTCGTGTGCGCAGTAATGGTGGGTGGGGATTTCCCCGCTGTGTCCGTTTCTTTCTTAGATTTTCCTATTGGGCACATGGGATCACCAGAGAGAGAGACAGACAGTG